GGGATAGCTGGCTCTTTTTCCAATTGACGAGAAAACCCTGTTTGTTAACGTAGTCTGGGTGTCCCTTGCTGCTTGATGGGCAGAAGGGGACAGAATTAAAATGTCGTCCAGGTAACATTGGAGACGAATGGGAATGTTCCTAAGGTGGGCAGCTAACGCTGCGAGGACCTTGGTGAAGGTTCTGGGGGCGGAGGCCAGTCCAAAGGGAAGGGCCACGTATTCAAAGTGCTGATTACTGTAGCAGAACCTTAAGAATTTGTAATGGGACGGCCGAATGGAAATGTGTAAATATGCTTCCGTCACGTCAATGGATGTGAGCACGTCCCCTTGTCTGATGACCAGCGGTATCGACTGCAGGGTATGCATTTTGAATTTGCGGTATGTCAGGAAGCGGTTGAGTCGTTTTAAATCTAAAATTGCTCTCCACCCCCCACCCCAAGTGTTTTGGTACAATAAAGAGGTGAGAATAGAAACCCCGCCCTCAGTGCTCGGGCTGTACAGGTTGGATGGCTTTTATGCTTAGGAGACGCTGGATAGCGGAATCCATTAGATTTCGCTTGACCAGGTCTCTGGAAAGGGGGGATGACATAAAGAAATTTGGGGGAGTGGATAGAAACTAATGGTGTCCCTAACCCAAAAATCGGAGGTAGAGGAGTCCCATTGACTAGCGAAGGACTTAAGACGCCTGCCAATGGGGAGAGTGTCCCTTAACCTATCTCGGACGTTGGAAGGGCCTACTTCCAGCTCCCTGAAAGGGCCTTTTATATTGACTGCCCCTTTGGCTCCCATCTCCGGACTCGGGTCTATCCTGGGTTTGACCAGACCTGAACAAGGGGGGCCTCTGATACCTGGGAGAGAAGGGGGCCTGATAGGAGGGCCGAAAGGAACCCCTCCAAAAGGGCTGGGCAGATCTGAAGTCTGATCTTCGAGTAAGGGCAGGAAGGAATTTTTTCTTACTGCGGGTCTCCATCAGTAGGGGGTCCAGGGAAGGGCCAAACAACTTGTCTCCTACTATGGAGGAATAAGCCAGCTTGGCTTTATTCTTAAAGTCTGCTCGCCAGCGTCTGAGCCAGAGCAGACGGCGGGCTGCAACGTGGGATCTAATTGCCCTTGCAGAGAATTTAACGGCATGATAAGTGGCATCAGCAGAGAACTCGGCTGCAGCGGTGAGCTTGGCAATGTCCTGGTGTGCCCTGGTGTTGGATGAAGGGACATGTTGCTTGAGCTGACGAAGCCATCGAATGGATGACCTTGTGAAGAAAGATGCAGCCGTAGCCGATCTGATGGCCCATGCGTCCGACTGATGGGCCCTGCGCAGGGCCAGCTCGGCCCGCTTTTCCTCTGGCTTAAGGGCTTCCAGAGCATCAGTCAGAGTAGAGGAGGATGCCAGGCTCACTATGGGCTCATCTACCTCAGGTGTGTTTAATAAATTTGAGAATTCCGGATCCAAATTAAAGTATTTTTTGTCGTGGCTGGAGGGGCCTGGGGGCACTACTGTAGACGCCAGTTGCTTTTGCACTAGGTCTGCAAAGATAGGTGGGGCTGGGATAACCTCAGCCACTACCACGGGCTGGTTAAAAATGAGATCCACGGGCCCCTCCGTTGAAGGAGAGGGGAGATCTGTTGGAGATTGCCTACCTAGGCCTGAAATGTTCTTGGCCTTGAATAATAAGGATTTAAATAGGTGTGGTTTAAATAGGCCCGCAAAGGCAGGCGGGTGAGGGATGAGCCCCTCGTCCTCGGACATCTCGCCTTCTAGGGGGTCAGCCTCTGATAGGGGTTCGCTGTAGTGCATAGACGCCAAATCAAGCTCGTCTGGTTCCATGAACTGGTCAAATTCTTCCTCTCCCTCTTCCTCTTCCCGCCGTTGAAGGGGGGGTTCCCTTGGCAAGGGTACCTGAACCTGATGATGTTCCGACTTGGGCAGGGATCTTAGTGAGTGAGATTCTTGGTTAGAGGCCGCTGGACACTGAGCAGGCCTAGTAGCTTGTTGGATGCTGGCTGCGATCCCTTGGCGAATAGCCAGCTCCATCCAGGATCTTATTCCTTCTGGCACCTCCTCAATGACAGACTCCGCTTGACAGAGGCCAGCTGCCGTTGGGGTGAAGGTGGCTTCTGGAGCCCTTCTAGCCGATGTTCCAGGAACCAGATCCTGTTGTTCCTGTAAGGGCAAGTTGCGCCTGGATGAGAGGGAAATATCTTGGGGGGCGGGGTGTTGAGCAGAGGTAGGGGGACTGGAGGATGGAAGAACAGATGAAGCTGCACTGTGGGATTTTTCTGCTCTGGAGGCCCCGTTGTCTCTAGGGGCATCCTCCATCTTAAAAGAAGGCCTAAGGAAATTGCAGCACTGTGTAAGGAAGAGAAGCACACAAAGCGAATTTTTAAAAACAGGGGATATCTTCACTGATTATCCCCTGGGTCCAAACCACTCCTCTTTTCAGCTCTGTACAACTTCAGTAGGGAGTTTTAACACTTCCTACTTGGACTAACACCCATTGGGGCCTAATAGGGCTTCTAATTATAGACCAGGCCCGGCCTGAAAGCCCTAATCTACCTCGGAGAAAGGGACCAGGCCCCCCACCGGAACAAACCATTTTTTAGCGCCTACCCTTTGTAGTCTTCTGGACCAACAGCTTCCAGAGGCCAATGGCCGAGCGCTGGTCCTGGCACTGCAGTGGCTGGAGAAGCAGGCTGAATCACCTGCCAATTAAAATGGCCACCACAGGCCACGAGGCCCTACAAAATGGCTGCCGTCAGCATCAAGGCTCCCTGCTTTAACCAAGGAACCCGGAGACAGGCTCCTTGGCCTTTCGTTGCTCCCTGATGGGCAGAGGCAGCTCCTTGGGTGGCCACTCAAACAGCAGCCTCCTTCGCTGCAGAGGCTCAAAAATGGCCCCGCGGCTTTGGAAAATGTGGGCCGATGCCGCCCACGCTCCAAAATGGCCACTCAATCCACGCAACCTTCTCTTCACCGTGGAGGCCCAAAAGGTGTCCCTGCGGTCTCTGCTGGCTGCTCCGGACCGGCGGAGCACCTCTCAGCTGTTTCATGGCTTCGCCAAACAGCTGAGTCAGAGACGCGTTTTTAAAATTTTTTTTCTTCTTTCAGCTCCGCGAAGTAAAAGCTGCCTTTGAAAAACCAAAGGAGAGGCAATCGATTGTGTCCGTCCTGGCTGAGGACTGAATCGAAAAGCTGGGAAGAGGCCACTCAGTCAGCCTTATGACAGACTCAATCCAATCAACAATCCATTGTCTGACCTATCGCAGTCTTACAAGGGAGAACAAGCAAGCTCAAAGAGCACCCAAGGACCCCTCGTGTCAACCCTGAGCTACAAATATTCTACTTTATTAAAGAACTGGAAAGTTCTCCTTCCATCAAGACAATCAAGAAGCAGGCAAGCGTTCTCAACTAAACAGTTCAGAGCCTAGGATCAACTTTCCCAACTCACGTTGCTCAGAAACATTGGCCCTAACTACTGTTAAGACTTCTGGAAGTCGGCAAATGGTTGGATGGGCACCTTCAAAAACACTACTGAGCATTCCCCCCCCCCACCCCAAAAAAGTAACGTGAAATTATAATTTACCTCATATTGTCGCACCATTTTTAAAGGGAGATGCTTCCTGCCGTAGTATCTCTCCACGAAGGGAAATACCATTCCTCTCTCTTTCATTCTCTTCCTTTGCTCATCTTCTGGAATCCTCCGTCTTCCCGGCCATTTTCTGGCAGACCGGCGAGATGTGCTTGGTTTTGTCTCCCTAGGGTTCCACCTTTTGCGGAACCGGTGCTGCTTTCGCGTGAAATGGTAATCGAAGAGGGCTCGAAGATCAATTTTAGGCTTGGGTAACTTCCTCTGAGTCTTGGCCTCCAGACAAGCTGAGGAAGGACCGCTCTGCATAGCCACAGAAGACGACTGGCCGGCATCTGTTGCTGAATTTGAAGCTTTTTTCCTTGAGTGCTTTGAGGAACTTGGACCAGATCTGAAGTCATGAAAGGTAAGAATTACTCCCTACTGGCACTGTACATTTGTTCATCTCTCCTCCATTCCCAGCAAGTCTCCAAACCAATGTTGGGCATGGATGGTTAATTTTTTACTCAGGTCAATAACTTTTCAGTAGAGATGGATGCAAAATAGCTCCCTGGAGATGTTCCACCCATAAAGCATAGTAGCACCCATCTCTCCCGGGTTAAAATTACACAGGAGCCAAAGATCTATCATGGCTTGGTATGAGAATCCAGCTATCATGGTTAATGTAACTGAGGAACCTTACCTTTAATGCAGGGGTCCCCAAGCTCAGCAACTTTAAGACTTGTGGACTTCAACTCCTAGAATTCCTCAGCCAGCATAGCTGGCTGAAGAATTCTGGGAGTTGAAGTCCACAAGTCTTAAAGTTGCCACGCTTGGGGATCTCTGCTTTAACAGAATATGACTGTCTAAGATCACATAAAGAAATCAGGACGTAGGAATAGGAGATAATTTGTGTGTGTGTGTGTGTGTGTGTGTGTGTTTGTCAATCTAAGCTAAGACAATGGAGAAACCAGATTTACTTAACAATTGTGTTATTAACTCAACAACTGCAGTGATTCACTTAAAAAATGTTGGCAAGGAAAAGTCATAAAACAGGGCAAAACTCTACAAATTTCTCACTTGGCATCATAAATTTTGGGCTCATTAGCTAGAAATAGCATTAACTCCAAATGAAAAGGCCTTAGAGCCATGGTATGTACAACGTAAGCCTAGAAGAGAAGCCATTTCCTCTCCCCCACCCCACCCCTTGCACCAGTATTTGGAAAGAACATATTAATAAGAGACAATCCAATATACAGACCAAAGGCAGCTATCCAATATGCCTATTTAAAACAATTTGCTGAATATATGCAATGAAATGCAGTACTATTCAAGATACGACTATTTCATGACTTCAATAAAAGGCACTCACATTTCTGTATCTTGGTTATCAGGAAGAGCTGCAGCTGTTCCCATTTCATTAGCCATATTTGTTTTCGACCTTGAAAAGATAACAGAAATTAGTTTCACAGATTCAAGGCTGAAATACACCAAAAGCAGTCTATAAGCCATGAAACCCCAAGCAAACTAATTCAAGAAACGAAATTAAAAAAAAATCAAGGGAAAGATTTGCTTAAAGCTTTATAGTAACAAAAGACTTATCTACAGATCTGATTTACCAAAGAATAGAATTGAATTCTTTATTAGCCAAGTATGATTGGACACACAAGGAATCTGTCTTGGTGCAAATGCTCTCAGTATACATAAAAGATACATTTGTCAAGAATCATATGGTACAACACTTAATAGTCATAGGGTACAATAAGCAATCAAATCATACTAGGAAAGTTTTTAATAAGTTTACGGGGTTCCCCCATTAATCTACAAAATCTTCAGTTAAAACCAACTAACAGCAAAATCACTGTAATTAATAGAAACAATTAGCACCCATCAAACAAGAGCTAAGATAACTTTACAGGCAGTATTCAATATTTGCATTCCAACAGTTCCTTGTTTATTTAAAAAGACCACCCCAGATAGTCAATATGCAAGAAAAATCCAAAATATTTTCTACCCACTTATGATCTAAAGCATGTGCCAGAATTTAGAGACCTCTCAAAGGTTGAATATGAGAATCCATAAGTTATAAGACTTGATTCCCTTAAGAAGTGTTTACCAACAATGGTTTTCTGGAACTTGAGTCATGGCAAATGCACTTTTTTTTTGGTTGAAACCTTAGGAACATCCATCCTCCCCCTCCTCCCTCAATAACCCTATTCACCCTAATTAGGCAAGAAATAAAACCACTCTGGAGACATACACGTAGTCCTTGACTTACAATAGTTCATTTAGTGACTGTTCAAAGCTACAACTGCACTGAAAAAAGCGACATGGCCATTTTTCACACTTACCTTTGTAGCAGCCCCCAGGATCACATAATCTAAATTCAGGTGCTTGCCACCTGGTTTATACTTATGACCCAAGGTCATGTGTTCACCTTTAAGTAATGGGAAAGCCGGATTCACTTAACCTTATTAATTTATCAACTGCAATGATTCACTTAACCGTGAAATGTCATTGTTGGCCTCAATTGTGGTAGTTGAGAACTACCTGAAGATGCCCCCCCCCCCCCAAAACCCCAACTTGCTCAGCTACTTGGATAAGCAGTGAAACTTTTCAAAAAATAAATCAAATTTGCCATGCCTCAATTTCCAGTCAACTTTACCTGGATGGCTATGAATCTTTATGAATATGCTGCCAAGTTTACATAGCATGGCTTGATTTGGTGTATAAACCTAGTCTTTTCTCTACCAAAAGGAAAACAGCTACATCACCTGGGATAAAACATTTCCAGCTAACGACCCAGGTTGTTTCCAATTCTGTCACCAAGTTTCTAAAATATTCTCCTAGAAGTGGATCACTATTTCACCACCTTGCAGCCCGAGCTACCTCACAGCATTTGTGTTAAGATGAATGTAAGGGGAATATATAGTAACCGTCTCATAATCTATGCTTTCTAGATATTGTACAGAGAAAGCCAAACTTAAGAGAGAGCTGGAAGGGATATTGGAGGTCCAGTCCAACCCCCTGAACAAGCAGGAGACCCTATACAATTTTAGACAAACGTCTATCTCTTCTTAAAAACCTCCAAATAATGGCAGCTTCTTTTCCACTGGTTAATTGTCCTCATTTTGGGGAAGTTTCTTAATTCCAGGTTGCTTCTCTTTCCTTGATGAGTTGTTCCATTGATCCATTGTTTCTTCAGTCTTGCCTTCTGGTGCTTTGGAAAATAACCACCCACAATGTTGCAGTACCTTCTCTTAAGTCAAGATCAGGAGTCTTCCAACCTTGGCAATTTTAAGGCTTGTGGACTTCCCCTCCCAGAATTCCTCAGTCAGCCACACAGGCTGGAGAATTCTGGGAGTTGAAGTCCAGAAGTTCTTCTAGTTGCCAAGTTTGGATACCTGTGTCAAGATTATCTTGGAGGCAAGGCTGAAGGCCACAACGTAGCTGAATCCAAGTTCAGGGCAAATTTTTAACCGGAATGGGCCTATTTTAAGAGTTGCCCATCTCAAAATGACTGACAATTTCTATAAATGTTACCAAATACAAACCCTGTAGGTCAGGAGTCTCGAACCTTGGCCACTTTTAAGACTTGTGGACTTCAACTCCCAGAGTTCCTCATCCCATAATTCCTCAGCCAGCTAGCTGCCTGAGGAATTCTGGGAGTTGAAGTCCTCAAGTCTTAAAGTGGCCAAGATTCGAGACTCATAATGTAGATATCACTTATTTTTCCAATTCCTGGGCAAAAGCTAGATTCTGCCCCACCCCGCATATTAAATGGGGTGGGGGATGAATCGGGATCATCTTAACATCCGAATTAGGGCCTTGCGTATCTCGCGCTAAGCCACCGGGTTTGATGAAAGCCATGATAGCTCAGCTCCCCTACCACCCCATAAAACCATCCAACCAACCAACCATATTACGGTCTCTAACACGACGGGAAAATGTAAGCGCAAGCAACAGCACCCCATCGGATGCAGCTTTTCTATCGAAATGGCGGCACAGAGGCTTGAGGAATATATTAATTAACAAGCCGCGCCGAACCGAGATCCGAAACAGGACGGATGTCGATAGATTGCACCTTACTCACCTCGTCTCGCGTATCGCCAAGGCCGCAAAAGCCCCGGCGGGCCGTTTATATCGTGACTTCAGGTCTCGCGAGTCTTCGTAAGAATTGACGTCAGCAGAACGGGAAGAGGGATGGAGGGATGGGGGGAAGGGCCATTGAAAGTGGTCAGAAGGCGCTCTGGGCGTGGCTTGTAAGCCTAATCCTTTGAGAAGTTGCTCGGGTTGGAGGAAAACGCCCTGCGCGCGCGTTCCGTGTAAGTAGAGCCAATGCAACGGTGGGCGAGTTTTGCACAATTTGCATTGGGAGGAATACTAGTTTAAACTTTAAAGGCAGTAATTAACGTTCTGAATGAATACCTTCCGTAAAGTGGTGGTCCCAGCTCAATCCTCGGCTGTGGGCTGTGCCTGATGGGATTTAACACATTTGGAAATTGAAAAACAAAAAAACAAATAACGCGGAACGCAATCCACCACTTCAGTGCAAGGTGTGTTTACCCGGGAGTACCCTAATGGAGTTTCTATGTAATAAAACTTGCATCGGACTCCAGGCAAATGTGCTCAACTTTGAGGCTGTTTTTTACTTTGGAGAAACCTTCGTTGCAAATAGGTGGTGGGATTCACACGCTAAGATAAAGGTTTGTTTGTAGGCTTGTGCAGGGTTATGGTAGTTACTGTGCTTTGGGTTCCAGGGTGTGAATCCAGAAAATGGGTGTTTTAGAGCAGTATTTTCCAAAACGGGGGGCTTCTGGGAGTTGAAGTCCGCACATCTTAAAAAGTTTGAAAATCACTGCTCTAAAACAAGCCCAGATACAACCGTTGAAACAACACTAATGAAAAGACTGCATTTTTATTACTCATCTCATAGTTTCTGCTTTTTGAAGTGTTCAGTGGCTTAGTATAAGATGCTCCTAATAAAAATATTAACAAAACTAAAACGCTGAGATGGCAATTTGGATTGGTTATAAATAATAGTTTCTAGGAAGCAAGAGAATTTTGCAAGGAAGCAAGCAAGTTTTGCAATTGCTAAAAAAATTAGCAGGATCAATACTTTTTAATGTGATACATTTATAAATTGATAAATTCATACTAAGAAATGTTAATATTGTAAACAAGCTGTTCTCAAAACCTTGGGAAATAGATAGGCCTGATAATGAACAATTTGCATGATTAGTGGTTTCACCTGCTTTTATAATTAATTCCTTCTTGTGAAATTTCCCTTGACCTTTTTTTCTACAGAACTTCATTCATTTAAAATCCTTCATCTTGTTTCTAGGCAGTAATTAATGGGAGTTTACTTCTAAATAATGTCAGCTGGTGAAGAAAAAAAATCCTAGTTTCCTTTTTTGTTGTTAAAGTTTGATTTGAAGCAACCAGCAAATAAACTTTTCAAATCTAATGTCTGTAAAACTGTCAACAATTGAGAACTTTGTTTCTAAGTGATACATCCTATGTGTGAATGGCTACCTATGGTTTACAGATCACACATTGCATTAAACCATAAACCACAGTTTACAAAATGCTACAGGTTAACTAAACAATCCACCTTCTGGGAATCCTTAAAGGAAGAACAGTATTGCAGCCATGTTCTATGTTTGATTTACTTACTGGACATTAACTGTAGAAAAATACTCAGGGTTTATTCCTTTACAATGAGATTACTGGCTTATACTGTCAGCCTAAAACAACATTTTTTTCCTGTCCAAAATAGTTGAAATACTGTGGGTGCTGATTCATCAACAATATTGCTTGTTGAATCATCTGATTTTTTTCCCCTGTGAATAATCAAAAAGCAGCTGTGGGCACCAACATTAATAAGGAAGAAAAGACTGAAAAAAGACAGCAGAGCACAATTAGGTCCATTCTTTTTTTTTAACATGTAACACTCTCAGAAATGACCGTGAATATCTGTACTGTTAAAAGGTTGGGTTGAATTGCAAACCAGTATGTTCATTAACAGACCTGTAACTTGATGTACTTTGATCTCTTAGAAGCTGACCTGCTTGGTTGGCTGCCTGGAATAAAACATGGCTAGAGTGGAAAAATTTGCTTTTCACATACCTACTCTGGAAGAAGTGGCTGATGGTAAGCAAGCATGGTTCTTTTGTGTTAGAAAAGCTGTGAGAAAAGAATCTTTATAACAGCAGCAGTTAGAAAAGCAGGCTCCCAGGCCTGATATAGTGCAGTATATATATTTGAATGGGAGGCAAGCTTTATTCCCCCAAATTATGAACATTAGAGATGTCCTTGAAGGGAACACTTGGAAGTTATTATAGATAGAAGGGCAGAAACATTCCTTAAGCCCACGGAAAGGTGATAGTTTCAAAGAGAGCCTGTTATTGTAGCTATTTCAGTAAAATATAGTTAGAGGTAGTCTTTGCTTAACCATTTATTCAGCAACTGGTGCTGAGTGAATGATAGCATTGGCCAGCCAAGTTATGGTTGTTGCAGCGACATAATCAAAATTTGAGTGTTTGGCAACTCGCCTGCACTTAACAACCATAACACTGGAGGAATAGCAATAGCACTTAGACTTATATATTGCTTTGTAGTGCTTTACAGCCCTCTCAAAGCGGTTTACAGGGTCAGCATATTGCCCCCCAACAATTTGGGTCCTCATTTTACCCACCTCGGAAGGATGGAAGGCTGCGCCAACCCTGAGCCTGGTGGGAGTTGAACTGCCAAATTGTAGGCAGGTGGCTGCAGAAGTAGTTTGTAGTACTGCACTCTAACCACTGCGCCACAGAGGCTTCTTATAATCATGGTGGAGCAGTGGTTAGAATGCAATATTGCAGGCTAACTCTGTCCACGGCCTCAAGTTCGATCCTGACTGCCCCAAGGTTTACTCTGCTTTCCACCCTTCCTAGGTCGGTAAAATAAGGAACCAGTTTGTTGGGGGAAATACGCTGATATTTGTAAACTGCTCAGAGAGGGCCTAAAGCACTATGGAGCAGTATATAAATCTACGTGCTATTGCTATATGCCCCCCTTCGTTTCTGCCTTTTTGGCCCCCTGCACTCCGTTGCCATCACTACCCCTGCTGGTGTCCTGTCCCAGCTAATCTTAGCTGTCTTCTGCTGGTGATCCAGGATCCAGATGATTGACAAGGACGTAGCCACAGGATGCATGGAGCAAGTGAGGCAGAGCCTCATCTCTCAAAAGGCATTCACTGGGTCTGGCCGGGAGGAGGCAGGGCAGCATCCTCCACTACAGAGCAGAAAGATTACAGTGGAAGGGATTATAAGAGAATAAGCAGCCCCACAATGGAAAATGTACCAAGCTATTTGCATAACACACTTGCAGTTGCTAGTGCGTTGCTTTCAATGTGCATTTCCCATTGTGTGCTTACTCTCCAATCTCTGCTTTATGAGGAGGGAAAAATGAAAAATCAGCCACAGGATGACACATTCTGACGAATGGTGATAGCGTGTCTGAGGAATGGTGTGAGTTGTAAATATGAACATTGGTCGTAAAATTATTTTTTTTTAGTATTGTTATAACTGAATGAGGCAGTCAGTAGGTGAGAACTACCTATGTAAGTATGTGCGGGCGGCTGATCCATTTGTTTTACAAACACTGTGCCTTATTTTACATGCAGTTAATTTGAATTGACAATAATTCATTCAATATTGATTCGTTGTCTTGGCTTTGCCTTTGTTTTAGAGCAGGGGTGTCAAACTGGATTTATTTGACGGCCGGATCAGCATTTTAGTTCTTCTCTGTGGGCCAGGGGGAGGGGGTGGTGGGAACAATGCCTCTTGCAGCACCCAGCTGGCCAGAACAGAGCACGGGGGGTCCATGCGCAGCCCCCCTGCGCCTTGTTTTCACCTCCAAGGGCCTCCTGCAGCACTGTGCCAGCCGAAACAGGGCCACATGGGCCGGTTTTCAGCTCAGTTTTGGCTGGCAGAGTGCTGCAGGAGGCCATGGAGGGTGAAAACGAGGCGCAGTGGGGTGCATGCGGCCCGTTTTAGCCGCCAGAGACACCGCGGGCCAGTCTTTTGATAGTTCCAGGCCGGCCCCATGGCCAGCCTCGGATTTAAGCATCTTGAGTTTTGACACCCCTGTTTTAGAGTGTGGCTAGAGCATACATACACCATTAGCTTCAATCTAAGAAAACAGTACCGAAAAACCAGGAAGCGTTAATACTCAACTGAAGGGCTTCACCCTGACTTCAGCGTGGTCAGCTTTAACATATTCCATTTTTCAATTTTCTTCGAAATGATCTATTTTCCTTCCAGTACTACAGAATGGACTTCAGGAAAATTTTGCAGATGTCCAGGTATCCGTGGTGGATTGTCCTGATATGACTCAAGAACCTTTCGGTTTTCCTGTTAAAGGTAACATGTGGTACCTGTAACAAAATATTGGCGATATCTTACATGTGGCCCACCAGGGGAACAGGGACAAAATTGCCAGGATTATTTTTGGCAGAATAGATTTTCTTTAAAGAATGGAGTAGATTTCCCTAAGCCTTTCCAAGATTGGATTATCCAGGCTAAAAGCCCTTTGTCGCTAAAAGACCATAAAATGCTGAATGCTCCTTTAAAAAATGCTATTTTTTTCCTACTTTTGGAGGGCTTCAAATTTCACAGAGCAGCTCCACCTTTGCCATTATGTCACAGATTTGCTGGCCATGCCTCCCTGTGATCTTGTATAGGTTGGAGGGATACTATGCTAAGTGATGGTTTGCTTTAGCTATGGTTGGTTATACAAGCCGCCATTGCCTAGGTTCATAATACAAACCACAATCATTGGTTTTGGACGGTCTACTAAACCGTGATTCCTTTTATATTGTTTTGGGTTAGTAAAATAAAAATCTGTAAAAAAATGAATTTGCTCACCACCACCACCCTTTTTTTTTTACAGGTATATGTGGCAAGCCTAGAATTGCAGATGTGGGAGGTGTTCCATATCTTTTACCACTTGTACAGAAAGAGAAGGTAAATAAAAAGTAATACACTTGCAACCGTATGCAAAAGGTAGTCTTTCATCCAATAAGCTCCCATTTTGATCAGAAACAATAATTCCCATTTTTGGGAGGTTGGAGTGGAATCAAATCATTTTTGCTAATATCGCAGTGAT